CACATCCAAATGCCTCATACCACATCCGCTGAAGAACAACCACCACCACCGCCGCCGCCTCCGCCGTCGTCACCACCACCCACAAAGGTAACACCCATTGAACAAATCATATCTCAGTCCTTAACGACCTTCTTTTTAGTACATCTATGAATGAATTCCGATTATATCGTTTTGCATTTGAAGCCAGAAGACATTGTGAATGAGTTGATGGAGCTTCAGAACCTTTACGATGTCGATCACGTCGACGACGAGGACGATGACGATGACGACAACGACAACGACGACAACGACAACACCCGAGAAGAAAAGAGAAGGAACATGGATTACAAAATGGAGTTTCAGACAAGTGAGTTTCAATCAATGGCGGTGGTTCAATAATGATCTTGAAACAAAACAAACCCATATCTGAATTTTCAGTTCCATTTACACCAAAACAATCCTAACCCATTTTCTTCACCATTCCTTCTAAGATGATCATATGAATTTCTTTCCAAAATTCTCAATCACTGTTTATTTTATCATAATTCTTATAAATTCATGTATTAAATTATTTGTGAGGGGGAAAATAAAGAAACTCTCTGAATTGGAGTCAAGAATCAGTAGGGATCAGAAGAACAAGAACAAGAACACATTGATTCAGCTCGTGAAATTGGGTGAATAATCCATTAAAATGCTCAAATTATGTTGAAGATTTGTATTATTTCATTCTTTTGGGTGAATAATTTGTGATATTGTTATATGTTTTATAAGTTATTTATGATAATAAATGTGGGTCTGAGTTAAAGGAAGCTTGCAGCTTTAACAAAGATGCTTAATATATATATATATATATATATATATATATATAGTGGAGAGAGAGAGGCATGTGATATACACACACAATTCCTTTTGTAATCACATGTAATGTCTACTACTTGCTTCCACATTCTAATGTCTCCCCAAAACATATTTTTACATATAGTTTTTTTTTTCTTTTTTAAATCCATGTGTTCATGTTTTTATTCCGTTCACAATTAGGTTAAATTACAAGTTCGAGCTTCGAGCTTGCTTAATAATATGGCTCCGTGTTCAAGATTTCAAATCTGAATGTCCCCTGCATTCCCCTACGTCATGACTACGTTACCTATAGTATGTTATCTAGAGATGTCTATTTAAATTTCGTGCATCATGATTAGGTTACCTAAAGATGTATATTTAACTCACGGAAATCTGCCCAAAATTAGCTTGAAAATCTCTATTTAAACGGGGAATAGAGGGGAGAGTGGAGAGATATTTCTCCATGTAAGCTAAACGATATTGTCCACTTTGAGATCATATTCTTGTAATAGTTCAAGCCCATCGCTAACGTATATTGTCCACTTTGACCTGATACTTGTCGTCATCAGCCTCACAATTTTAAACCGTGTCTACTGGAGAGAGATTTCCACACCCTTATAAAGAATGTTTCGTTCTCCTCTCCACACTCTTATAAAAATGTTTTGTTTCCCTCTCCAACTTATGTGAGATCTCACAATGTAGCCCTACTCGTAATAGATAAACAAATATATATATATCTTTGGGTATCTACTTGTCTTGTCCCATAGATATCTATATGATATCTACTTGTCTTGAAATGCTTCCAGCAATGAAGAATATCCCCAACACGAGTTCTTTTAGCATGACTCTTTTACTAAGAGAAGAGATCACCCAACCTAAAATTGGTCAGAACCGAGCATGATTATACTATTGAAAAAAAGAACATGCATCTTGTTTATATAAATAATAATTATCGATTATTTTAACAATCATATTCTATGATATTTATATTTACAAATTTCACAAAAAAAAATTGACATACAATCATAATATTTAAATTATCAATTATATTATTATTACTATCATAGTTATTATTTGACTTTAATTTTCCACATTATAAGTGTCACATAGAATATTACAATCAGACTGTAATTTTGCATAATATATGATAGTTATATCAATTATGAAAAAAAAATCACTTAAGACGGTATTTTAACACATTCATAATCAGATGGTCTCGGCTCATTCATGTACTTCTTTTTACTTGTCTTTACTCAAACGTCACATTATCCTTAAACTTTGCAAGACAACTCAAGATTACACCATCATATCGAGTCTTATATGTAGTCCAAGGGCAAATTAGTAAAAAGTCGATGGAGTTTAAGAGAGATTACGCTAGGGTTAGATTTCGATTGAAATTGGTGAATTGTAAGAGATTTTTAAAATTCTCGAACTTATACGACGTGATTTTATGTATTAATTTGTTATGTGTCGGGATTAAGGTTTAATTAGATAAAATTAAAAGTTTAGAGAGTAAACGTAATAATAAAAAGGGTTTAGGGTTTGACAAAGTAACTAATGATGTGTATTAGATGGGGAAAACAAATAATTATGCATGGTTAGCTTAAGGAATGTTCCATTCTATTATTATATACTAAATTTCTATTTGAAAACACTCATTTTCTATGGCATTGATTTCGGGTTGGGTATATAATGAGTGTATACTCGTTGGGTTAGGTTTGGACCAACTAAAATTTTGGGTTAATTTGGTTTGTGACACGACCAATCTGAATAGAGTTCACAACCCAATTCACTTTTAAAAGAATAAAGAATATTTGACGTTTGTAACTGATGTTAATGACACGTTATGACTTGTAAATATTTAATATTTGAAATTGACGAGATTTGATTTATTGATGTAACATATACCGTGGATAAATATGATTTTTTAAATAATTAAAACAGAACTCAACAACTCAACTCAACCCGAAAAAATCTAGCCCAAACCCACATTAAATTTGGGTTGGATAGTATGAATTAATCGAGTTATCAGATCATAAGTAGGATCTTTAAACGAGAACCTGATGCCTTAGCTTATACTTGTTTGGATATTATTCTCGAGAAAATCTCGTGGTTTATTTCATATTAAAATTTATGGAATTTTTTTACATCAATCTTCCACAAAATTTGAACCCTTTTGTCTTGATTGATATAAGAAAATTGAGGGCATAGTTATTGGGTATCAATAATGAGGGAGCTACTTTGAATGCATAGTTATTGGGTATCAATCATGTAGGGTTTATAATATTAGTAGTGCACATGGACTTGGATTTGGACCATATTGGAAGTATCCCTATCCAATAATAATTGTGATGTACTTTACTCCAAACTATTTCACACTTTCAGGCCTAAGGGAGTACACAACTACCTCTAAAATTCTATTCAAGGTTCATCCCTATATAATTTTAGGGGAAAATCCTTTAAACTTGTTGTTTTGTATCAATTTTTATCATAAATTTTCGGACCATTAGATTAAACCCTAAACTTACTAAAATGTTGTAATTTCATACTCCTCAACACAATTCTTTGTGGAAAACCCTCGTACTCTTTATTAAGATGAACTGAAAAGAAATTACAAGATCCTAAACCCTAAACCCTATATTACAAGATCCTAAACCCTAAATTCTAAACCCTAAATTAAAAGATCCTAAACCCTAAACTCTAAACCTTAAATTACAACATCCTAAACCCTAAATTTTAAATCCTAAACTCTAAACCCTAAATTACAAGATCCTTAGTAGAATACTAGTACACTTTGCTTTACTTGAACCGCTTTAGATTTGTTGTGGGTAGATGAGTATTTATAATAGAATCTAGATTATTTATTTAAAAAATATCTAATCATTTATTCATAAAATACCTAAATCATTTTTCTAAAATGTCTGAATTCTAGTTCATCTAACGATCCTTTGAATCATACTCTTTTTACGACTTTCGACCATTGATTGTAGACTGCATTTTCCAACTCACCACATTGATATCCCGTGAGATGAGATTATTCTATTTGTTTCTCTTATTTGGACGCTTAATTTGAAATTGAGGTTTTGGTTCTATTCATCACTAACAAAAAATAATGGATGTGATAGCTAACTGAAAACACTACATTCTATTTCCACGGCTCATTGAAAAATCTTTAAGATGGTTTCACAATCGGTTCTATGTACAACAATGTGTTGAACTACTTCAGTAAGTCTGCGTGGAAGATATATAGCATTCGATGTTCGTACAATGGTATCTACAACTTCTTTACGCGCTCCGTAGTAATAAATTATATAATTTGTTAAGGACAACCCCTCACGTAAATTGTTTTGAATGAGTAAATCAATCCTTTGTTGTTGTGGATTGGACATTAATCCTCTCGTACCTACTAATTGGTGAAGTTTGTGAAATTCTCCCTACCGAACACATCAACTTTTTATTCATTTCTCCCATAGAGTCTCGTCAAGATTAAGACTAAACTTGTATTTTTTTGTTTCATTGAAATCTTTATTGATTCTAATCAACACGTAACTTATTTAAGTTTGGCAACCAACGACGCGAATTTTCAACCACCACTGATAGAAGAAAGAGAGATTAACCAAACATACTTGGCTAGCAAATTATTGAAGTTCAAATATTCAACGGAATAATCCAAGATTAAGTGAAGTTATTCGTCAAGGAATTATCAGAAATTAATATTCCATCATCTCAAGTTTCAAAGATACGAAATGGAAAAATTAAGTAAAGAGGGAAATAAGATGAAGAATAAGGCTCTCTCTCACAGCTCACTTGAAGCATATCATTCCTTTCATCCTTCTTTTGCCTTCCTCTTCTTTTTCTACATAGCTAAACTCGAGTTCATCGTGTATGAGTTCATGCTTGGCCTCTCACCCAATACATTATAGAGATTGAGTCATGTAGCACAACTTCGATTGCTTACCAAATTCGACCCCGTAAAGCATTCATCTTAACATGTTATGACTTATTGCTCAAAACCTACTTTTAGCACGACTTCGCAGGTTGGTGCAACCTGTTACTCAATGCTAGTAAGATCACAAACATTACTTATGATTTATAGGATGTTGGCTGGAAAAATTACCAAGTTCTTTCCTGCATCTTCAAAATTATATAACATCTTGTATCCACAAAGTAAAAGATAAACATAATGTCTAATTCAAAACACTACAGAATGTTTATTAAGATGTACAAGTTTCAAGGTACAAAGATCATAGGGGAAGAACATGGACACAAAAGGAAAAGTGTGATAAAACTCAATTCTTACATTTTGCCATGCCTATCAGAAATGAAAAGAAACAAAAACTTAGATGGTGAAAACATCCAGACAATCGCTTTCCTTACGAAATAAATGAGATAACGAACCGAAATTACAATAGGAAATTTAAAAAACTCGCTCACTAGCTTGCAATGAACTGCAATAGAAAAGAGAAGAATGTTACATGGGTAACAGGAAAATGAGCCTTGCGTTTAGTAGCACGTCCATCAACTTCTCCAGGGAAGAACCTATGCAAGACCAACTTTACATGATAAAATTGTATTGAGAGTCAAAAACGAAGATGTAAAAAAGGGGAGAAGGGCAATTCTCACAGGTCAGCTTTGACAAAACAAATCCAAGATCTGGAAAGGTGAAGAATAGATCCTACAAGTTAATACAAGTAATCCTATGCATTAAGAACTGGTCTGGGCCAATTCCTGCTTGCTCTTGCTTCTTTTCATCTTTGCCTTGAATCTTGATTTTACCATTAAGGTTTGCACTGTATTTGCGAAGTTCCCGACCGCCATTACAACCAGAAGGAATCCACAAAATAACACCTGCAACGGACATTTATCCATCAGTTTGTATCCGAACATGTTCACAATCTTTTTCTGTAAGTTTGAAATATTATTTTGAATTAGAACCAGTAGAAACAAGAAGCAATTTATCACCTGCCATTCAGGAACCACGCCAACCAATGCAGTCTTGAGGAGAAGTAATCCAACATATGCCTCAAAGCCCTATTGAATACTCCACATATAAATAAATTAACATATCACTAAGACATATTAGAGTTCTATCATGTAGCAAGTGGCCATACAGATTACGACTGTCAAATGCCCTTCCCCAAACAAAGATGGTTTACACTGACCATAAAACCACCGTGCCACCGTTGTAGTAAACAGCGAAAGGCAAACCATTAAAAATATACTCAAAATCTTCAATTAAACCCATAACATTGGAACTTGAAATCTAAAAGTTTTACCATCTCTACTTTCGAGTATGTTTTATATGAAAAATTATACTCCCACCTTTTTTCGAGATTCTCTTAGTGAAGAGTAAAAACATTGAATAGAAAGAAATCAACCAAAAATAAAAGTACCTAATATTTTTACTAAACTAAAAAATTTCTAATGACTAACTACGACTTAATGGTAGTTAAATAGGAAAAGAGTTTTGCCAGTTTGAATTGACTAAAAAATTTCTTAAAACGTTGAGAAATTCTGCATTTACTGCAATGAAAAATCTACTTTTCACACTTTTTATTTTGTAGTGTGTTCATCAACTGCCATAAAAACTTTGGAAGGACGGTGAAAGTTGAGGATTAAATCACCTGTAAGATAAAGAGTAAAGGACACAGTATCAATAGTTGACCATCCACACCAGCTGTTTCTCCCCAAACGACATCCATTCTCTTAGCCTAATAATAAGAAGAATAAACAGGGAAATCAACATATAGATAAAATGACAGAACAAGCAACCACCAATTATAAAACATAAGCAAAATTCCTCAATGTTCACCATCGTGCATGCCTCATCAGATGTTTAAAATTTTGAGTCCCTTGGGTAGGGATAATGAGCTCCAGTCATCGAATGAGATGCAACAAAAATTAGAATATATTGTTATAAAGTTGAATGTACATGAATGCAGTATCAAACTGCACCTTTCCAAGAGCAATCCGAGTATAAAGCCTCTGACGCTGATATCTATTTTGTAAAAGCATTGCAACTCCTTGCATCATGGCCCACTGTAGGAAGAGTTGTACACCTCTCTGGAGAAGAATTGAACCCGTATAGTTAATCTAATGCATAGAGTATGCATGTGTTTAGCAAGCAATAACAATTGAAAAACCTGCTTTTGGGCACAATTTGGCTGTCCTTTGATCTCCCACGTAAGACTAACAAGGGCCGTAATCATAGCACAATAGTGATGGTATATCCACCTGTAAAATCATTACTTAGGAACCTCAGCACAATGTCTGTGGAACTAAGGGATCATATAGCATGAGTGATGATCACTCGACAGCAAAAGCATAATTACAAACGTTATCAGAATGTCTGTGTATACCACAGACACTATAGAAACATTGATGCAATACAAATCCCATCCACTAACCCATATTGAAGATATAAAAAATAAAATTGTTTAAATCTATCGTGGAACAGGCATCGTTGTGTCAAGCACCAAACGTAATCCTTAACTTATAACAGATGCTATGACGTTAGAAAGCATGCATTGAAAGCATGACTACATTTTTCTTCAAAATTGCTCATGAAAGAGAATCCTATTCCACCCTTTTTGCTGGATTTCTTTCACCTTTGAGGAAAGAAAAGAGGTAATTTTCAGGGCTTTTACATAGGAAGAGTGGGTTCCAAACATGTTGATCACAATCATCTGTAGTAGTTAGATGAGCTTTACTCTCTTTTACAGTAGCCTTATAATACCATTTTAAAACAAACCACTGAACATATCAATGAAAGAAAAGGTTGCAGTGCACTTACCAAGAACGAATATCACTTCCATTGACTCTTAGTATGTTTTCACGCAAAGACAATCCAGTGTATAGGAACAGGAGCCATGCCTAGAAAGAAAAATGATGTGTCAAGAGTTTAAATGAACCTATAAGCTATCTCTCAAGGCATCGGATTCCCTTTAAGAAGATAAGCCTAGAAATGTCAAGATAACAAGATTTCAAAAATTACATGGAAATGAAATGGGGAAAAACTCGTTTCGCAAAAAAGTGAGGCTAAGATATAAGTGAGGATAAAAAGTGAGTTTAAATGAAAGAATGCAAGGGGATACCAAAATGAAGCACACAAAAAGGGAGCCAATCCAGAATATTGATTTCCAAGTAGATACAAACAATTATGTTTATCTGATAATCACAATGTATTTGCTCCACAGTCCCTATTACCAAGCAGGAGACTGGAAAACTTGTACACAATTGAACTCAACATATAACTCAACATATAACGAAACATTCAATTAGAGAGAGCAAGAGCAATTTTTGGGGAAAAAAAATACCTGGTACAGTTGAACTGGAAATGTAGGCAAGCATCCATCCCACACCCAGCCTCTTAGAACAAGCAGCAGAGATGGGAAAAAAAGAAAGAGAAGAGCAGTCCTATCCTGCTTGAAAGAGATCACTGTGAGGGCACCTCAAGCTAAAATAACATAGAATTTTACCAAAAGAAAACAATCCAGTTTGAGAATATCATAGAACAAAGGAATAAATCCTGACTAAGAATCTGAAAAAAAAAAATTCCCGATAGCACATAAGTATGTCAAGATCCCCCAAGTTGAGAACAATATCATGTAGTAATTACTAAAGAAAGAAGATTACAAACACCAAGAAGTTGCTCGACATTTAGCTACAGCCACTCGCTCACACCACTCAGTGCAGTTCCTAATCATTATAATCGCATTCGTCTACAATGGTTTTCTTTTGCCTCTAGACTTGATTCTACGTAGAATTTGAACAAAATTACTCTTAGTGCTGAAGTCCAGCACCCATGAGATGTTGAATTTTTTAATAAGACCTGCCAACATTTTTAATCAACAAAACAATGGAAAGTGATTTATATTTTCACTTCCCCTCTAAAATCTTCTAGTAAAATTGTCCATCCAACTGCAGTTTGGTCCATTGCAGAGGCAAGCATAAAATTGAACATAGAATTCTACCGCAGAATTAGGAGAAAAGGGAAAAGGTAGGAAGATAAAACTCTCCAAGTCCCTACAAAATTTCCTTCGACTCTATGATAGTTAGCTGAACAGAAGATGTGCTCTAGAACTTAGATATACCCCTAGGAAATCAGAAGTCAGCTGTGTAACTATCAAATAATTACTGACAAGATGGTTATAGCTTTGCATAATCAGTAAATTTCATTGTGCTGGTAGGCAGAGTTGAAAGGCTGTAACGTGTTCATTCATCTCATTAAGGACTTCTTGAACAATTCCCATCATAGAAGCCCTAGAATCACTTTGATATGTCTCCTTCAATGATTTGTCTTAATAAAAATTGGTCTGGTTACCAAAATGAGAGATCGATGATGTACTGCTTGAATTTGACAGGAGGAAAGCTATAGTTGTAAGTTTTATAACTAGACACTACGTCAATGAACTCTTGGGATTAGTTTTTTTTTTTTTTCAAATGAGAAACTAGCCTTCAATATGACAGATAAACTTACAAAAACAGAAAGCCATGAAAAAAAAAATGAAGCCAACAAAAACACTCTTAAGAGGTTACAACTATTAGGATCAATAATATCAAAATATTACAAAAGATTTTTGTAGAGATACCAAAAGGGAGGCCTTCAACTAAGACACTTAATTTTTCTTTTTCTTTTTCTTTTTTTTTTACAAGAAACAGCTTTTCAGTGATGTATGGAAAGGAAGAAAAAAAGTTAAAGGATACAAGTTCCCAATGGAAACAAAAAAAGATGATACGAGAAGAAATAAGCCTAAAAATACAAGAGGATAAAACAAAAATTCTCCTATTTCTCTCTTACACAAGGGGAGGCATTCAACTGACACTTTCTGCAAACATCCTCCGAAGACCCCTTCTAAAAAATTCTCTTATTTCTCTCTAAGCAAAGGATGCTGCCTGCCACAGAATCACCTTCATTACTAAATGGTGGGTGAAGAAGCAACACCTCCATCAAACGAAAAGGAATAACTCCTCTATCACCTCCATTAGAAAGAGAAGGGTGGAGAGGCACCTTATCCCTCGGTTCCACAACCCCTACTACTAGATGAGTTGATCCACCTAAATGTCTTGTCTTTACTGCAAAGGGAGCTACTCCATGTATTGCTGGACAAAATTTTCATGAATTTGTTTATCTTAAAATCATTTTTGTGGCTAAATAGAGAATTTGATAACCTAATATTTTCTCCTCGCCTATGCTGCTTATTCTAGTAAACAAGGATGTTTTTTTTTTTTTTTTTCTTTCAGCAGTACCTCAATATAACACGATTGGTGTCAACCTAAGACTAAATATCTCCAGACTTCTATGAGATTTTTGAAGTGAGTCATCCTCGGGATTTAATCTTCCATTGCAGCAAATAAAATGTAAGACTGGCTAAGCAGACAAACATGTAAGTATGAGATTTTAGGAGCAAGTTCTAAAAGGATCGAGAATCCAAAATAGTAAGTCACCAAAATTTGATAAAACAATCTCCAAGAAACAAAATAAGCAACGTCAAAAAGTCTGAACATTATGGATTAGAAAGGAATCTCCAGAACTTAAGAGTCACGAAAAAGGGATCAGGGCATACAAAAAACTTTTTTTTTTTTTTTTTTTTTTTTTTTT